CTTTCAACGTTAGAGTCTTGGCTACAGTCTCCACTTATCCCTTTAAAAAGGGGTTAGGCTTCAAATATGTTATGCAAGTGAATCCAGAGATTTGCACAGGGCGTTGCTTATGTACACTTTTTCTATTAAAGCTAGTAGCTAAAAACTAAAATGTGACACCAAATCGCTATCCCAGGCAACGAGGAGGAGTGTATGGAGGAGCGTTGGAGGAGTGTATGGAGGAGCATTGGAGGAGTGTATGGAGGAGCATTGGAGGAGTGTATGGAGGAGCATTGGAGGAGTGTATGGAGGAGCATTGGAGGAGTGTATGGAGGAGCATTGGAGGAGTGTATGGAGGAGCATTGGAGGAGTGTATGGAGGAGCGTGAAGGAGTGTATGGAGGAGCGTTGGAGGAGTGTCAGAAGCGTCACTACATTACAAGCTTCTCAATGACTGCCGTCTTTACACTCAACGTGCACCAGTGGACATTGGTTTTGTTATGTGGAATATGTTAACATGTGGATCCCACATGGTGACATTAAGGTCAAATTTTGATCTATAACTTCTGTGAGAATTATGACCAGAACATTATGACCAAACATTATCAAAAATGTCCGTGTTCAGAGTGTCATTGCTGCAAATAACCTGAATGGTGATCCGTGGATGGCATCCAGATCGTCTCCTTCAGTTTGGAATAATTCATCAGTCTAAAACTCTTCCCCTAATGCAACCCATCGTTAAACAATCAGAGCTTGTTAGGCCTCTTGTTTGTTAATCAAGCACTTGCTTGTTAACTGAGAGATGAGATAATAGACCTCCAGTGTGTGTGTATAATTTTGGGGGCTGTCTATCTGCCTGATTGTTTATTGCTTTTAAATTTCAGTCATTGCTGCAGCGGTTTCTCTAATTGGTTTGTTTGCATTGCCTAGCAACATCCCTAAAGTTTGACTCAGTCAGGAGTTGGATGTGTTTTTGTGTTTTGTTAAGTCTCCTACAATACTCCAAGTTTTCTGGGTTAGGTTTATGGTATCACGGCGCTTTGCACTGCCAAAGAATAAAAACAAGCCTGCTTCAGGGTTCTTACAGTGAGACAAAATTCTAGTGTTGAATTTTAAGGTCATTCTCTTTTTAATCTCTTGTTTTCCTCTGGTTTGTATCTACAATAACATTTTAATCTGACACCCCGCCTTTCATTGTGCACTGGCTTTAAACATGAACTCCAAATTGTGTTGATGAGTATCACATGATGTGTTTCCGTAAGGCCTCTTTGGGAAGGTGAATGAGTCTGCACGTTATACAAAAGTATTCCGCAATCCACCCAGATTATCAATCTCCTCAACACCAACATCAAAGGTTGAGAAAGCCTCCACGTTACGCGTCAGCCTACATAAAGTCCTCAATCCTAAAACAAGGGAGGGTTTAGAGGGACCGGTAAGTCGCCTTTAAAGAGAAAACAGTGCTGACAAATCCCTGTCGATGAAAGCATCGAACACGATCAGTCCGGATTGTATCAGTATTATCTAATATGCCGTTAAACAAACACAGAAACCGAGTCCGAGAGAGAGCAGGAAAGCGTAACACTTTGAACATTCCTTGGTTTGTTGAAATCATTTCATTACGAGCCAATGGGCAAGTGTGCTGCATCTGTTAAGATGCTTTGAGGCCTACGATGGCTGAATGGTTACACGAGAGCGTTTCAATGTTGCAGCAGGTAATTCGTGGCGCGTTGGCCTAAAGCCGGCCGCAGAGCACTGCCAGATGATAAAGAACACGGATTTAGTCAATGATGTCTGTTCTTGTCAGCAAAGCCCTTTTCTCTCTCAGGATTTTGTTTTTCTAAGAGGCTCTTAGTGGGAAATTGTCATGTTTTCATGTCAAAGGCGTGCTTTTATCTGTTTGCTTTCCATGGTGCTTAAAGTTGTTTACAGTGCCAGGGGCGCTTTCGGTCTGTGTGTGTGTGTATTTGTGAGAGTGTGTGATAGAAACACCTCACCACGGATGATGCAAGAAGGAGGAAATTTGACATCTGGGCCTCGGTGTATCACTGTATCACGTACTGAAATGCTCCGTGCCGAACGCAGGACAAATCTAGCAGTGGCCGACTTATCTTTGATCACGAAAAGCTGCCATTGATTCTCAGCCAAATGTTGACATTAAATGAGTCAAATGTGTAGATGACCTTTCTGGGTCTCCCAGAGCGGCGCAGGGGCCAGGTACAAAAGCTGGAAGAGTATGTGGTGGAAATTATTCCTCCTTGACATTTCAGAGACCTCGGCACGCGGCTTTTTAACATTCCAGTCAAGGCACGAAGAGAAATGTCACCTTTTTTATTTACTTGAGGGAATACACCAATTAAACGGGACTTTAAGGCCGGGCCATGATAGTTCTTCTCCAGCACTGCCGTGCCCCTGAGCCCACACACACACACACACACACACACACACTATGTCAATGACCTCTCATCCTATAAGTGACATTTTAAATATTGCTTATTCTTGACCCTGTTGCGTTAACCTTTTTACACAGGCAATTTACAATTATTCTCTGTAGCTTTCTGAACTAACTGCACTGACCTGTGGAATAAAAGGGTTGGACTTTTGTTTTTGTTCGAGGGAATACTCTTTCTTCACCTGCAAGCGGTCCCGTTCCAGGGCCATGTCAGCGGGAATAGCAAGGAATGTGTATTCCTATCATCCTGTTGTGACAACAGAAAGTATTTTGGGTGTAAATTGGCCGAGGGCTTCCGACATTTGGTCCGTGGAGTCAAATTCAGCAGTTACTGTAGACTTATCTGCTTTGACATACAGCGTGTTAGATGTCTAAGTTTGCTATATGTAAAAAGTGGTCCCAAATGTAAGTTTAAAAATCATGAATGATGCACAGTATTTAATATGACTTCATTATATATATTTTCTCTCGTCACAACCACAGCCAAGGAAGTCCCACGCCAGAGTTTATTTTAGCTGCAATGATTCCCCATTATCCAATGATGCCTGTGTTTGTTACCTTATTGTTGTCTCAGCCCCCCCCCCCCCACTCCCCTCCTTCCCATTATTGTTATTGCCTCAAAGTAATCAATTAGTATCTTATCAGTCGCCATAAGTTATATTAATAATAATCATAGAAGATCACAGAAGACATGGTCATTATCTCAGTGACAAAGAGGCATTTTTAGGTAATCCTACAGTCTCTGCCGTGCTACTCGGTGTACTTGGCAATGACTTGTTTTAATTAAGCCTTTACACCTTCAATGTAATTGAATTTGAAGGTTTGTCCCACCTTATGACTGGTACTGTATGTAAAAATGTACAACTTTATGCAAGAAACAGCAGATCAAAAATAACTGATGCAACATATTAACTTGGACAGGAAATGTCTCTTAAGCACATGGGATCTTCATTTCTACCCCCCCCTCCGCTCTCTCTGTAATTAGGGCTTTTTCAGTATTTCCAGCAATGTTTTCATCAGTGTACAGCTTTGCCAGCCTCGGCTGAGAGCGAGGAAGAATGAAGCGGGGGAAAAGGGGGGGAGAGAAGGTCCTCTGTGGCTTTTAATAGTTCTCGTCTCTCCCCTGGACTCTCCTTTAATTGCTCTGCTCTGCCTGCAGGGTCATCATTACTCTGATCAAGTGCAACTCTGTTTTTCACTGCTTTTCATGAATATCATTTTCCAAAACAACTGCTTTGAGGTTTTTCAAGCAGGAGATCAAATTGGATCACCTACTCATATGTAAATGTAAGAGTGTTCTTGGCATTAGCAGGATACAATATATTTAATATGCAGGGCTTTCAAGTCTTCAATAAATCCGACACCCAAAACACTTTGAAGTGTTTTTTTTTCTTGCTTTAATCAAGCAAAATGCCTTTTGAGGTTTTGACAGTCACTGGTGGGGTCAGAGAGCATAGATTAGTTCTGCAACTAAGTGAGATTGTAGGTCCCAAAATCCTCATGTTTGTATCTTCCTGATAAAATGGAGCTCAGCTCCCCAGGCCTTCCTTTCTAATTGCTCTGGCCTGTCTCTCGGGTTATTATTGCTCTGATCAAGCGCAACTCTATAATAGTCCTGGTTTTCCACAATAAAAGAGGTACTGAAGTTTACGATGTTTGTGGGAATTATTACCAATTGTATTTGAAGAATACAAGCATAGTGCAAAAAAAGGGAAAGGTAACATTTCATTCTTCATTGAGGGAACAAGTGCTGAATCCGACTGTTCAGAGCAATCAGAAAAGGCTAAATCACATAGATCGGAACGGTGTCCACTTTTCATTTATGTCTTGACTTAAACTGGTTATTCAAAAAATGTTTTAAAGGAATATGTGGAGCAACAGGGGAAATGTGGAGAAGAAATGCAGTTATAAAAGATAGAAAGATAGAAGTTGTTTTAGGTATAAGATCTCGGTCCACCATGCTGACTTTATACTGTAAGGGGCTAAAGTGTTTGTTCAGAGAGTGCACTTGCTCTTCTCAATTCAAAGATATTCATTTCGACATAACCTATTGATTTCTTGCAGATAAATAATGTCAAGTCTTGGCATTTGAGATCACATAAATATATATCGCCAGAAAGGCTGTTACGGTGAAGCTGTCATATTTGAGGCCCCTTACAAAAGTATATGCCATTTATTATAATATTTTAACTTGATAAGAATCTTTGAATGCAGGGGGGAACAGAGTGATCTCGGGGCTAATCTACAGCAAAATGAAAAAGCCACACAGACGAGAAGAAGAAGAGTAAAGTATTAGAAAATAAAGATTGTTTCTTAATCCTGCTTTAATTCAGAAACTATTTGGCACATAAACAGCATATTGTAAGTAAGTGAACTCCAAGTCGGTTCATCACTCCTGCTTTAAAATATACATGACAGACTGCATGTTGTTGCCAATCGGTAGTCGGTTCCATAAACTTGTTGTAATGTGCAATCTACCATGCAGGAGATGTCAAAGTAGATCTTCATATCTGGAGAGGCGTATCCTTCACTTCTTTTCCCTTGATGTTTTCTCATTGTACTTGTCTCAACAGTGTGGTTCTGAATGCAGCTTTTAGAGACCAACTCTCTGAAACTTCATTAGTATCTCCAGAACACAACTTGCTGGGCTGCTCTGGATCCCAGGTACAGCGTCCAGGACAAGACCAGCAGTTTGATCCGCTGGATCTTCTAGTGCACGTGGATGTACGCTTGGGCAAGACACCCCAAATGGCGAAGCTGTGCCGAAGGATTCATTGGTCCTGATGGATTGGTGGCACCTTGTCACTCCTTGCCACTAGTGTATGAATGGGTGTAAATATGTGTCTCTATTTTAATTGGTTCTTGCACCGTGTGGTTCCCATGTAGAAAGGTTTTGTGCTTGAACATTACATTTTCTTCTTAATTTGTGGTCACTTCATTATCACAGGGGGGAATAATACACATAAACAAAGAATGTTAACAGTTGACATTTAACGGCAAGAAGAAATATTTAATATGAGGACTATAAATGATTGAAACGATTGGCCTTAAGGTTTATGAAGCTGATGAAATGTATAACTTTTCATTGCCCTTTTGTTGCCAGGGCAATATATTTGTTTACCTTCTGTCAGCATCTGCATTAACAGACCATCCAACAGGAAATACAAAGGGGCCCATTGATGTTGTCAAGTTTGAACTACAAATAGAATTACCAAAAGTTTAAATCTTAACAATTTAAATATGTCAATCTGAGAGAAGTAAATCATTGTCTGAATCTTTCTTGGGAATATACACGCACACACACACCTTTAACAGCCAGAGGGATCTCAATGAAAAAATGTCAATAAATCCAAATTTAAATTGAATCTGACAATCGCATCACTTTCCCTCCGGTCAATCTGCCACTCGTATTGGTTTTCAGGAGGTCAGGGTTCATTCACAGGAATCCTATTTTGTCAATATTTCCCAGTGTACTCTCCAGTCAGCATCTGGTGTGTGTGTGTGTGTGTGTTCCCGGCAGACTCGCTACCGGCCCTGTTTCGACAACGAATCCATGTACAATCCAACAGGGAAGAGAGTCGGTCTATCGATCCAAAGAATGGGAGGCATCAAAAGATCCTTAGGAGCAGGAGCTGAAAGGAGCAGCGATGGCGAAGAGTATGTACGTGTGTGTGTGTGTGTGTGTGTGTGTGTGTGTGTGTGTGTGTGTGTGTGTGTGTGTGTGTGTGTGTGTGTGTGTGTGTGTGTGTGTGTGCAGGAAAGACATCACAGGGTTTTTTCTTTTTAGTAAGCAATACTTTGGTTGTGGAATATCCTTTCAGGGGTTGTTTCATATTTGTTACAATAAACACAGTGTCTCTGCTCTGCGTTAGATGCTCACATTTTTCATTTTTCACAGAAAAAACACCAGCGCAACATTTGTTTTTTTTAATTTGTCGGCTGAGGGAATGTGAGATGCTGTAATACCCTGGCAACACACACTCATACACATTGATCCTGGGTTGAGCTATTTGCCAAATCTCTGGGTAGCAACATGGGCCCTCTGCCTAAAAGTGTGTTTGTCTGTGCGTGAGAGTGAGAGAGTGGTACAATAATAAAGCACATTTGGAAAAGAGCACCACCAACACGGCACTTCCACTACTATTTTGTTACATCAACTAGGTTTCAATCCCGTCCTCAACTAATGCACGTAAACACGTAATCGCTCTTACACGCCCTCACACACACACACACACACACACACACACACACACACACACACACACACACACACACACAGCAGAAGCTGCCTGTACGATCCACTGAACCACTAAAACACAGGGTGAGCACAAGCACGACTTACTGTGCTTGCACCCTGAGCTTTTGCCACTAAAAGTTATTTTGTTTGCCAAACGGCTCCATTAAAGGAATCTGGAGGAAGTGTTTTACTTTTGTCACGACAGCCGCACTGTAAATGTTCCCTAATGATTCTTTTTTTGTCTCATTTACAGATCAGGAAGCAACCAATTCGGAAGGAGACTACCAGACATGAGAGGAATACTTTTTCCAATTGGACCATGTGTAGATCGGTCACCTCCACTGTTTACCGTGGGAATAAATATCAGTACAAATAGGGGAAGAACTCTGGTATTCCAATTGCATGGCATCACTTTGATCCTCATTTGATCAGATTAAATGTCAATGTAAACCCCAAACAAATGTTTGTCTTTGTTATTGTTGTCTATAGTAGTTATTTGCAAAAAAACAAACAATTCAAATTAATATTTAATAGGATCATTATGATTACATTAAAATAATCTTGGCACGTGCTTTTAAATCTATACTAAGAGCGGTTTAGAAAAACCCATTTCCAAGATTACATTTAAACACATCATGATAGCTTTGCTCCGATTCTTATTTCTACTAGAGCTTGAACAAATCAACCCAACCATTGTAGATCAGCTGTTTACTTCCTAGTTGTTGGCAGACAACCATCAATACATCATTTTCCTACTTTGACAATATGGACCCAGTGTGTCTCAAAGCTGGCGGAGCGACAATAAATTACATGTAATCTACTTGTACAGATGTAAATTCCCTTACAACTTTTGCTGCTTGTAAAAATACATTTTTGTGTATTTGTTCTGTTAACAACACACTCATTACGACTGTTGTTAGTTTGTGTTTAGCTGACTCAATTTGTTGACTGATGCAATACAAGGCAAGACTTACTGTTGCTCTCACGCTGTCTACATTTATATACAGCCCACAGACACACACACATACAAACACACACAGAGGAATTTAGTCTGTTACCAGCTACAAAAATAATACATATTAAAGCTATATTTTAGTATTTTTTCGATCTATATCCTGATAAATTGAGGCAGTCTGCTTGACCCGAGCAGATTTCTGTGTGTTTTCACATATGAATATGTGTGTTTATTTAAGGAACTGGCCGTGTAGACGTCCTCCCATTTTGCCCCCCTGCCTTCTAATTCATCTTCCATATGGATGACACCAACAGTCCTGAATACAATATGGCTCCAAACAGGCACATGGCGAGTGCACGCTGGGTCAAAACTAGACAAATGCGCGCACACACACACACACACACACACACACACACACACACAAAAGGGGATGGCAGACGGGACCAGGGTAGTGCATCTGCTGTTTAATTAAAATGAGAGGGGGCCCACAGACAAGGCCTGGATCCGAATGGGGCCCATGTGGACACACGCACACAAACACAGACCTCTGCTGTTGGTTCACGAGGCAGACAACTGTCCTCTACTGCAAACGTGAGAGACAGATAGGTGGAAAGGAAGGACGGACAAAACATGGTAAGAAATACAAAATAACACACACGGATAAAGAAGGGCATAATGTATTAAACCGAACAATCAAATCTGTCGTACAATTTGAAGTGCATTCACTACAAAAATGATTTTAAAAAAAAACACTTGTTACATAACAACGTTACAAATAGGCAGACTGAGGTCAAAGGCCAGCGTGGCCCAGTAAACGTTGCCTCCAAAGCTGGACATTTCTTACAGGCCGGCCCAACCTTTTTTACCTCACGGATCGTTTTCATGTCAGACAATATTTCACGGACCGGTCGACAAGGTTCGACGGGGGGGAGAGTGGGGGGGGGGGGGAGTAGTAGGCGCGCGCTCTGTGTTCGCAGGTGGGCGAAACTGCCGTGCACAGTAAGAGGACAATTGTAAACGTGAAGAAAAACGCCTGGTGACGCGTGGGGAATAAGTCAGAGGGACGAGCGCACATAATTACGAGAAAATCCATTTGAATCAATTTTCAAATACATATATAAGCTTTCTGTGGTGAGGCCCGGTACCAAACGGCCCACGGACCGGTGGTTGGGGACCACTGTCATAGAGAACGTTAGAGAAATACAGGGTTAATGATCTGGTGCGGTGCAGTAATCTCAGGCAATAAGGGCGTAATCTCAACATTTCAGTGGGCTGACATGAAGACATCGATCTACAGAGCAAAGGGATCACTTCTGCTGTTTCGGCGTTTGAATCAAATCTCTCCTTTGGTCTCGGTCCTCTTGCTTTGAGTGTAGAATATAACCACCCTCAGGAAATCACACAGAACAGCATCAATGCCTTAATAATGTGGTGGATATTAGTTTATTGTAAAATTGTAATAATATTGTACAATTGCTTGTCACTGGGTCAGGGTTTCATTTCCTGCATTAGAGACACAGTCAAGAGCCAACGTATATTGATATGTATTCTAAAAGCAGCATAACACGCCGCAGAGTGTACTGTATAATCTCATTTAAATGGAGCTTCCTGTTCCTCCAGTGGATCATAAAACGCTGAGTTTGAACTTATTTGGATCCATGTCTAAACAATGTAGAAAGTGGACATATAAACGGTATATATATGCGTATTCATGTAAACGTGCGTTTCCCTGGTGTAACGTGTGTGCAGCTGAATCCAAAGGGTCTCTCTGGGGAACCAGAGCGAGCAGGACCCCATATATCTACCGTGACTAACAGGATTAAACCTGACTGGGTAGGGAGAAAGATAAAAAAAAGAGTGTGGGGGCTGTGTGGGGGGAGAGAAAGAGGAGGAGAAATCAAGATATCTTCTCTCCTACACATCGGAGGAAGAAAGCAGCAGTAGAAGAAATAAGTTAGGAGTACCAAAGAGAGGTGGCCAAGATGAGGAGGGGGAAATGATCAGAGAGGGACGATCGGTCCGTCTCAGACGATGGGGAAAGCAGTGTCCTTATGTGTGTGTGTGTGTGTGTGTTGCATATGTAAACCTTTCAAAGGTAGTTTGTGTAAACCTGTGACTGCCGCTTCTTGTTCTACACGGCAGACTGATGCTCCCTCCATTAGCCCCGCGGGGCATCCACCTAACCCCTCCCCAGGGCAATTTAAGAGCAATTTAGCAACGCATTTACACTTTAATGCCTTTAAAACTACCACGCGTACCCAGAGACACACACACACACACACACACACACACACACGTAGAGCAGGGAGCATGGGAGAAGAAAGCAAAGGTCAGCAATGTGCGGTTACTAATCGTACAGCATCTGATAGATTAATATTTTAACCATATTGCTCAAATAGAAAGAGGAGGAGAGGGAAAGAGAAAGATGGAGGACGATCTGAAGCCCCGTTCTTCATCATCCCATACTGGGTAAGACGTGTTCACCACAACCCTTGTCTCTTGCAACGGGAGTCACGCTCAGCTGGGTTAATAAATTAACACAAGAATTCATTTACCACACATATTGAAACCTCCACGTAACCCACATTCGGGGATGTGCAGTACTTGAAACGCGTTGTAGGCTACCAAAATCTTCTGGGCATGTTTAGGTTAGATTTCTGCTGGGATTTTGGGCTCCAAAGACGGTTGTAAGAGAGAATTTGCACAGAGAAGGGCAGAAATTAATCAAATTTGCCCACCAATGCATTTAGTAGTTGTTACTACATTAGAGGTCCCATGGGTGAGACTGGCGTAGCAGATGGGGAAAATCTAAATAAATGATCAAACAGGAGAGCATGATTTCCCAAAGTGCTACTCACTTATGAAAGTATATCAGGACCATCAGTAAATTTCACAGGCAACAGGAGCTATGACTTTATCCAAATTACATTTTTAAGGCCTGACACACGTCGCAATCGCAGATTTTCAAAAATTCAAAGGCTCTCCCCACATACAGTATTTTCCGGGCTCTTAAAAGAGGAGCTTTTGAATATAATACTGTAGCACAATAGACAGAAAGGGAGAGAGTGTCGTTCAGCAGGGCATCCCTGATTCCACCGGTGTGACATTCACTCTGCCAAAGAGCCCGACGGGGGAGAGAGGACGGCGTAAACTGCTTCCAGAGGACGGCTTTAAAAGATGTAAATGGAAGCGAATGAGGAGAGGTGTGATCTAGTTGACCGCGCTGGAGTCCCACGTCGATACAAAGCAGAGAAAGAGACAAGTAAGTGGACAAAGGATGCTGTAGTCACTCTGCTGCAAGGTGCTTCAGGATTTCTTCTGTTCCGCCCTCATTTTTTGTTCAATTATTTTTGCTTTTTTTCTGCCCACTGTGTAGTATGCTGGCGGTTATGAAATGTATACCCCTTTGGAATTGCCGTAAACTCTTCTGGTTGCTAAAAGAAGTCAGATTGTGTAGAAATATATGTGACAATTATCATACTTATCACTTGACTTATAATCTCAGTCAGAGTTTCGGGTCTCAGTGTTTAGTGTTGTTTCAAGTCTTCCTCGTAGTGATATTCCATTTCTCTTGTTATGGTCCCATTAAGATGGGTGATGAAACAGTGTATGCCTTAAGGCGTGGCTACCTTGTGATTGACAGGATCACTTCCTGAGTCACTCTTAGAGCTTGAACAATTTCAGTTTGTTACATCAACAGTAACGGATAGTGAATGCTGCCGTGCGGTGACTCTAAAGGCTTTTACAATAGACCCGGTCAAGGGGAACTGCGCCGTGACGGGAGAGAGGAGGAGATCAGGCGGCGGCAGCAGGGGGGCGATGACACGAAGCGGCGGTCGAGTCAGACGGTTCCCAGGAGCCTGCAAAGACAATGAAGTGACAGGAATAGTAACATCCTGTTGGATCCCATCTGTCCACCATTTTCATATTTACACATATTTTATGTACGAAAATATATACATAGAATATATGGCAATTATGTGTTGAATTGTATTCAATAATGAGTTTTTTTTAATGTCTGCAATGAAAAATTATTTGACAGAATGTTATATAAATAACCTTTTACTATTATCATTTTCAACCTCAAATGTTGGAGTGAGATTAAACCTGTGTTGCAATAAATAACACTAACAGGATCTGGTGAGGTCATCTTTGCCCACGTGTGCATGACGTCATGATCGGACACACATCTAATTGGCACGCAGTGTGCAGCTATTGCTGGCGGTCAAGCTCGCCTTGCTCATTTATATTGCACTCAGATAGAAATTCAGGAGTCATAAATGTATAGAAAGTTTGGTGAAATATGTACATTCACCTTCCGCTGTAAAGATGTATTGCTGAAGTTGCAAATGTTTCAAATTGATTGACAAATGATCTTTTATCGAGTTGCACACCACAAACTCTCTCTTAATGTAGAGAGACCGGAAAGAACCTGTTTGAGTTCTTGGTAAGTTCGATCTTTGCAGTCTACACAGACCTCACTCCACTCACAGAGGAAGACGTGTTCTTACAGTAAATGTCTCC